CACTGGAAGTAACTAGCGGACTGTTTGTTAAACTTCTATGTGAATGGGTCCACAGAAGTGCTCTGTCCCCAAAGGAGCCCATTTTGCTTGTTGCTTGGCCTGAGCCCCTTGTCAGCACAGTGTTTCTCAGCAAATTCAGATTCCTGGAGCAGTGGAGTCTGAGCTGTGCCCTTAGCTCTGTCACACAACTCACTGCCACTTTGCCCGTATGTTCTCATCCCTCTTTGAGCCGTTCTACACCGTTCAGTATCTCACTTATGTCTGTTTTCTAGCACAGAGATCACTCCTGGATTCGTGCACAATCCCAACTGAGATTTCTCACTGAAGTAACATGCTGACAGCAGAAGCAGCCCCGAGCTTCCCCATCCTTAAAAAGAAGCTACAAAAGCCCTAAGATCTTGCTGCATGTCCCATGGAAAGCAGCAGCGCAGTGGGTGACCAAGACCATTATTGTAATGCAGTCTCTTTGCACTCAAGAAGTGTGCTGCAGAATGAGAACGGTGACAACGTGTGTGACCAAGAGCAGGGAGCAAGTGGGGTGAGCACCAAAGCAAGTCCGGTGGGGCTGATACTATAGCATTACAGCCCACAAAGCTTTCCTCGTAAAGGGCAAGCCAAGGTCAGTGTGGTTTGACTGCACTTTGAAGAAATTGCCAGCAAGTAAAAGACTCTGAGATGGAAAGCTGGATTTCAGGCATGTTAGCGAAGAAAGACACTCATGTTCTCTTTAATGGACTTCTCTAGGCTACCCATCTTGTAAAGATCACCTGTGAAACGTCTGCTTTAGCTTATTACTTTATTTTCTGCCAATGGTACTCATTTTTCCTGGCACCGAGTCTTTCCTGAGAGTTATTATCTGAATTACTGTATATTGCAGCTATAAACCAGTTGCCTGTCTGGATGCTCTCACAGTAAAAGGGACCTATCCTGCAAATGGGACCTGGGTCTTGCTGCTTCATCATGGCAGAGTTCACACAGCTGCACACTGCTGGTGCCTCCAGAGCAATTAGCTGAGAGCAGAGACGGCTGAGCACAAAAAGAGGGAAAATAGGATTTGGGATGATTTGGGGGCTGCTAATGCAGGCATCTGCCCTTGCTGAGAGATGTGTGAGAGCTCCTGGTGAAACATCAATAGAGCCCAAGCTCAGCAAAAAGAGTCCAGGCACTCAAGCAGGACGAAAGTAGTTCTTAGATATTGCGTACCAACATATCTCTAGCCCCTAGTTGTAAAAATTCTTTAGTCTGTCTCCTTTTTATTTGCTTTCTGTATTTGTCTGTTAGAAAGCAAAGGTGTTTAGGCACCAGCCTAAACTGGAGAGAATGTTTCAAGCTTTCATAAATCTTGAAGGTTGGAAAAGACCTCTATGATCCCCCAGTCCAACCCCAACCCATCCCACCATGCCCACTGACAACGTCCATCAGTGCCACATCTCTTGAACCCTTCCAGGGATGGTGACACCACCACTTTCCTGGGCAGCCTGTGCCAGTGCATTATCACTCTTTCAGAGAAGAAATTGTTCCTGATATTCAATCTGGACCTCCCCTGTTACAACTTGAGGCCATCACCCCTCATCCTATCACTGGCACATTTCTCTTGTGACATTGGATAAGTCACTGAGTTTTTCTTGCAAGCCCTAAAAGAGGGTTGAAAACATTCTTCACAGGGGATCTGGGACCAGAAGAGTATTTTAAATTCCAATTTATTCACTGTGAGCAACCTGGGACAAGTATAGCTGATGCCAATTTGTTGTAGAGATGATCCTTCCATTCCCTCCTCATTTTGAGGGTGTATAATGAGCACTCGTGAAATCAAGAGGCAGTCTTGCACCTAGAACATGAGGAACTGTTAATATGCTTGAAACAAAATGGGTGGCCTTAAGTAACAGATGCGTGAAGGCAGCCTCAGAAATGCTTCACAGCATTGTAGAGCTCTTGAGAATGCAGTCAGTGCGACAGGGCTTTCTGGAGATCTTTTCTTCAGAGATATTTGTCGTGAACCTGGGAATAATGCAGGATGCACTTGAAGAACAAAAAGGAGTCATCTACAGAGTTTCAAAGGAGAGGTTTTACAATTACAGGTGCTCGTAGGGTAGTCTATAGGCAGATTATAGTGTCGGAGTGAATGGCTGATTGAATTTTCCATCGCAGGTTTCTTGTTCATGAACCTGTTAAGAATAAAAGAATTATGTATAAATCTATGCTGAGACTCCAACAAGAACTGAGATGAATGAGGTCTCTCCTTTCCTTTTCGGTGCACTCGTTCCAGGTTTACAAAACTGCTTGCTTTTACTGTCTCGTCTCGGAATGAAAATTTCAGCAGCCCTGGGCAAGGAGGTGTAGCAGAGTATAAATATTGCAAAGGGATCCTTTGAGTTCTTGTTGTGATGCCCTGATGAAACAAGACTTGAGAATTAGTCCAGGATGCTCTCAAACACATCGATAATTTATTTTATTTTTTTTTTTAATTAAGTCTTAAACAGTGTGGGTTGAAGCGTGCTTAGGTTGGCATTACAGGCAGCGTTACACCAGAAGCAGAGACATAAATAGGGACTAATAACACATTTGTAACATTTTACAAGGAGATGGAAGGATGCGTGGTTAAATTTTTTAACAACTTGTGTCTGTGTTCATAGGTGGCTTCTGCCCAGCTGCGGGTAGGTAGCAGTAGTTCTTACAAGGCTGGGAACCCATAGTCCACTGATGCCACCATCTGCAGTCATGAATAGTAAATGCCTCCCAGTTAGATACCTGCTTCATTCTGCCACTGTTACAGCATTCATCTTTACTAAGCTGTTCCGGCAACCACAATTGCAGCAAGGAAAGTGAGAGCGGTGCAGAAAGCTTGCACCCCAAAACACAGCTCTGGAGCCTCAGCTCTCAGCACTTGGCAGAGGCACCGTGGACTGCAGTCATCGTCCTTTGAAGCCCTGTTAAAATCAGTGCAGCTAATAGTAACCAACGCAATCAAACATTTGGCCGGCCAAAGCAAATCTGCTTGCTTTGCACAGAGCCAGCACACAGGCTGTGCCTGGAAAGCACTTGCACCATTTTCTGCAGTGTTAGAAGAGAAAATTACATAAAAGCATGAAAGGGAAATCTGAGAAAAAATCAGCTGAGGGTCTTGGGGGAGGTATACTTCAGAGACTTTTATTTTGCTTAGGGAAAATATTGAACTGCATTTTCTTGCAGGTCATTTTTTGAATTGTGTTTGTTTTTTATGTTCAAAGATAAGCCCAACTGATGCTCTGTTTCCTTTGACTAGCAATCACCCTAGCTATTATCGCTCTGAATTTTCCCATTTGGCACCAACACAAACCATGCAATTCTCCAAATAACCTCTCCTCTCCCTTTCCCTATCTGTTCTGTTTGTATCTAGATTTTGTTGAAGACTATTCCTTCTTCATGCTAATGGCTGTGCAGAGTCCTCTGGAGGTCAGCTTTCCCAGTGGCACTCCAGAAGAGCAGTAGCTCTCCTCATTGTGCAGGAAAATAACTCCAAGGAAAAGCTGTTCGTTCAGGAGCAAGAAGTGATGTGTTTGAATCATTGATGCCCCTGAGCATGTCCAAAGAAGGGCAGTGAAGCTATGAAGAGTCTGGAGCACAAGTCTTATGGAGAGCAGCTGAGGGGATGGGGTTGGTTCAGCCTGGAGAAGAGGAGACTCATGGGAGACCTTATGGTTCTCTACAACTGCCTGAAAGGAGGTGGTGATGATAGAGGGCAGCCTCTACTCCCAGTAACAGTGATGGGATGAGAGGTGACAGCCTTAAGTAGTGCCAGGGGAGGTTTGGGTTGGATATTAAGAACAATTCTTTCTCAGAAAGACTGGCTGACTATTGGCATAGGCTGCCCAGGGAGGTGGTGGAGTCAGTGTCCACAAAAGTGCTCGAGAACCATGGAGATATGGCACTGAGGGACATGGCAGTGGGTATGGTGGGATGGGTTGGGGTTGGACTTGGTGATCTTAGTGGTCTTTTCCAAGCTTAATGATCCTGTGATTCTGTATTGCTCTCCTTATAGCACAGTCTCATTTTTCTAACCTCCCATCCCCTGTCTACGTCAAGTTAACAATGTGAAACAAAGCAAACCAAGGCCCTTGGTAGCCCCAGGATGGCTGTTTATTAACATCGTACTGTGTGTGCAATCCATGCATCGCATACACACTGTACATAATTAAAAGTCTTAGAGCGGTGGCATTCCATGATTAATGCCTTAGGTAGGCACTTTGGTTCCTAATACTAATAGGAAGTGACTTGCTCTAAAGCGTGAGTGGTGCTCGGGCACCTCAGGAGTAATAAAGGTTGCTCTAGGCATATTGCATGATTCCTTGACTCATTAATTATAGCTGCCCAAAGTGGAAAGTTTATAATTAAACATATAGTTTACTCGTCTACTTTTGAGATGAAGTAAATTAAGGCAATTAGATTTATTTTCGATTAAGCATATGGAGCCATTTACAAAGCACACGGGTGTGTGGAACAAGGAAGTTATTGTGCAAGGAATTCTGTCTTGGGCTCATCTGAGATCCGGTGTGCAATGACGTCATGTTTATAAACAAACTTGTTCAGCTGAATTATCTCTATAGGCAGTTTTTACTCAAAAAAGAGATGTATGTATCAGTGAATAGGCTCCTTCACTTGTTTGGCTGGAACTTCCATTGGGATGCAGCCATTCTTCCCTTTATTTACCTATAAACTGAGCTGAAAGTAAGTGGATTTTCAACTGAAAATATCAGAACAAGCAACTAATAAATTCACTTGTTCCAATGCAGGCACGTATTGTTAAATGAACAAGGATTATTGGAAGTATATGTTAAGGGTGTTGTATGTTACTTGTTCATAGCAACTACCGTGATTCTATGATCCTACCTTGATATTTGAATGTGTATGGTAGGAAAGTATCACTGGAAACTCTGAGTTGACACAGAAGATTTTTGTAAGGAATTAATCCTTTGTCCTAGGTCAATGCTTTTAACTTTCAGCCACTCTTTTGACCTTTTTAGATGATCACATGGACCAGGAGCTAACTGGACACACAGACACTAACTGGAGAACCTGGGAACTGCAATCTTATTTTCTTTGCCTTGTATGGTGAGATCCACAGTGAGCAAAATATGTCTCTTTGTTGACGTCTTGACTAAGTTGATGTTCTTTTGTGTTTTTATTTGTTGAATTTTTTTTTTAATTAATGCTATAAAATGAACAAACACTTTGTGTTATCTCTCATCATCAACATAACAGAATCACAGGTTGGAAAAGACCACTAAGATCACCAAGTCCAACCACAGTCCATTCCACCATGACCACTGACCACATCCCTACGTAGAATCATTGTATCATTAAGGCTGGAAAAGAACACTAAGATGGCCAATTGCAAGTCCAACCCATCCCACCATGCCCAGTAACCATGTCCCTCATTGCCACGTCCCCACAGTTCTGGAACATCTCCAGGGATGGTGACCCCACCACCTCCCTGGGAAGCTTGTGTCAATGCATTACCACATGTTTAGAGAAGAAATTGTTCCTAATATCCAACCTGAACTTCCCTTGGTGCAACTCGGAGTTGTCACCTCTCTTTCCAACGCTGTGAGCTGGGAAATGAGGCTGACCCTCTGTATGGGAACTGCTGAATCACGGCCTGAACCTCTGATTGATCACCTGAGGTGAGCAATGAGCCAGCCACGGGAACACAGGTGAAGGCAATTCAGCTGTGCTGCCAGAAGGGTTGAAGCCTGGTTCCACCTCTCCTAGATTCATTTAAGAGCTGACTGCCAGTGAGGGAGGATCTCTTTTGGAGGTCCACTTCACTGGAATTTCATAAGTGAGCCCAGGATACAAGTAAGTGTCCTATCTTTTCTGCTTTGGTGCAATAGCTATGTAGCCAAGCTCTCTGGTATACCTCATAACTGTAACATCTGTACATTCATTGATTGTACACCCTCACCTTGCTACAAGCTCAAGGCCTCCTTTCCATAATGTGCCTTTAACTCAACACTGAATTCCAAAGAGAAATGTGTATTTCTGTGCTTTTGTGTACGTATCAGAGTACAAGAAAGTTCCCTGTGTGTGGAATTTTTTGGCTCATCTTTGTGAGAATTATTCCAAGTTGTAGAAGGAAAGTCTGGGGAGCTGTTTGCACAGGGATGTGCAGATAGACAGTGAAAGAAGTAAGTGATGGGGCCCTTGGTAGCTCCTGGTGGATCTGGTCTTCTCTTCCATTACCAAGGGTTTTTATTTGTGTTTTGTCTGGAACTCCAGCTGGAGCTCCAATGCTTGTGATCTGGGTGCAATCAAGTCAATAGAAGTCAGACTCATTAATCCTGGCCTGCAGGAAGGCTTCGTGGTTGGAAACAGTACAAGATGTCTCCTAATGACTCAAGCAGGGATAGTATGGAAATAAAAAAGTCTGAATACTGAGACTTTGTAAACGAGCATGCTGGTTTGTTCAGTTCCCCCCCATCTTTTTTGCTCCCTGTTGTGGACAGATGCGCAGTGTGTATTGATTCCTGAGAGCACTAATGGCATTTGCTTCTTTGTAGAATTAAACTTGACACATACATAATAATGACTTTGCCAGGCTCTGCCTTTAATGAGCTTTTCCAGGCTGTATTTGCAACTCATTGAGGACCTTTTCTGTGGCTGATTTTCATAAAAAATAAAGTTCAAGCACATTGAACAGGATTATTGAAGTGATGTGTTAGTGCCTGCATTGCTACATAAACAACTTTAAGGTCTACAACTCGCTGAAGTCACCCCAAATGTAGGCAAAGCAGCTTGTATTGCACTGCAGTGTATTACCGTGCACGGTGCCCACGCTGGGGCCATCCCCTGCCACTGGAAGGGGGACAGTGGTGTTGTGCCAGCAAAGCCCCACCAGTAAAGGCTTAGGCATGGGCTGTAGTGCCCATCAGAAGCTTTGTTCTGTACCTGTCTTCATGGAGTGAAAATCAAAGGCACTGCCTTTATCTGATGTTTTGTAAAAGGGATCTGAAACTTCGATCTCTGTTTTCAAGTGAAGCAGGAGTGTCACTTTGGCTTTGTGCGTGATCCTTATCTCAATTTCCTCATTGAGCCGCAAAATGGTTCCTTCTATTTTCTTTTATTCCCTTCAGGCAAAGAAGGAGAGCAGCTCTGTTGTAGCTGACCTGTCTCACAGCACTGAAGCTGGACGGGAGGCCCCTGTGTTGTGTTGCCCAACTCTGAGGCAGTTTTTCCTCCCTGTCTGGTGCAGACTGTGCACTCTCTCCATATGATCCCTCTCACGTGCTCCCAATACCTGCAAGTATTTCTCTTATAGTGAGTTACACCCCTTGACAGTATTCTTTGGCTGGGGGTTGTGAATTCTGAACTTCTCTTCCTAGGCCAGGTTATTTCCCTGGAAATATTCAGGAGATGCTCAAGTAAGAGCTGGCTCAAGCACTGCTGAATCTGCAAGGGGAGCCCTATTCAGTTCTGGAAGATTTTGTGTTGTAAGCTGCTTGTCCACAAGTTTCTGTTTTATTTCTTGATGTGAATTAAGACACCATCTTCAATACACGAAGTCCTGTGCCCTGTCAGCCCTCCAGCTGTATTTACATCCCTCTGCTCCATCTGTCCGCGATGGATCTCGAACGACGTCTGTTGGAATCAGTTTTCAATTTAAGAGGTGCAATTAGCTTAGCTATCTTGTTAGGTATTGAAAGGTGGCAAGCAGGAAATGTGAAGATTTTCATAGTGCATTAACACAGCAGTGATAAATACCCTTAAGAACTCGTTCACTATTTGAACGTGTCATGTGTTGAAGGAGAACTGAAAGGAGCAGCAGAGCCATTCCAGACCTGTGCCTCTGGGAAGGAACCAATTGGTTTTCAGCTCACGCGCTGGAAGAGAGAGGAGAAATCCCCTGGAAGTGCCCAGTGCTCCAAGCAGTGACGTGCAGCCCTTTGCTGCCTGCAGCCAGAGGTCCCAGTTTGCCCTGTAACCTGCAGCAAGCCTTTCGGCACTCCAAGGCTGTCAGACGAACTCTGTGATTGTGCTTCATCCTGTTGAGGCAGAGATTATTAAAAGTGTGTGTTTTTTTTTTTTTCAGTCTGGCTTCTAAGAAGCACTGTGCAGCTATCTGCTGTGTCAATCTGTCACACAGACTGTGGCTTTTGAAGGTGTCTGCACAAGAGCTGCTATCCACCCTGCAAAAATGGAGGGGTGTGGAGCTTTCATGGCTATGTCCTTTCTGGGCAGTGATGGCAGTGGGTCAGATGAATGGAGCTGTCACTATTTCCATTCTTCTCTTTCCTTTTTGCTCTTACATGAGGAAGTTGTGTTGACCAAGGGAAAACTCAGCTGAAGTCTGCACATCAGTGGCGCAGCATATCGCAAATAAAAGGTGCCAAATAAATTGGGGCTGCCTGTAGGATTGGCTGCAGTTGGCCGTTTGCATTGGTAGAATCACAGAGTCATTGAGGTTCAAAGAGATCTCTAAGATAATCAAGTCCAACTGTCCGCCCACCACCAATATTGCCCACTAAACCATGTCCCTAAGTACCACATCTGTCCTTTCCTTAGGCACCTCCAGGGACAGATACTCCACCACCACCCTGGATAGCTTGTTCCACTACCTCACCACTCCTTCTGAGAAAAAATTCTTCCCAATTCCCAACCTGAGCTTCCTATCAGGCTGTATGTGCACGAATACACCAAGCAGCAGCTTTAAAGGATGTCTGAAAGTGAAACCGAAGGAGAACAGGATGAAGAATTTCCCAGTGATGAAGGGAAGGTCATCACATGAAAAGCTAAATGTCATATTTGTTGCTCAACTTAGTACCATTACATCTGGAAAAATGTAGCTCTTCAGCTCTGCCACTGAAATAAACTGAAGTCAAACAGAAGTCCTTGAGTGCAAACACACAGATCAGAATTAAATTTCCTTCTAACTCCTGGGTAATAGAGTTCTGTCGAAGCCAGGAGTCAATTAAGTGGATAAATACACACGTAGTTCACTAACACTTAGCATTTCTGCGGTATTTTGCTGAAGTAAGCACTTAATGTGATTATTGTGTTTCAGCCTGATTTAAGATGACAAGTTTTGCATTTCCTAAATATTAATTAGCCCTGAATTTCTATTTATTTAAACTCTGAGGCAGTGAGTGGGTAGTTGTGTGATTTACCTCTGCCTCCTGGCACTTATCTCAACTGGGACATTTGAAATGCAATTCTAAACAATTAGCCTTCATGCCTGTCAGCATAAAGAATGAAGAATTGAGCTTGTTTTGTTTATTTGCAGGAATGATCCTCATACAAACTACATCTACAACAAATGCAGGGATCTGCTTGTTTGCAGCAGACTGCAGGATTAGGTTTTTTTTGATACCCAATACTAGAAAAACAATAGATTTTTAGATAGGGATTTTGTTATTTATTTTTTCAAGGCTGGGCTATCTCCTTAGGGCTGGCTTTTAGGGACAGTACCAAAGGCACATGGTGCTGAATGGCTTGTACTGTGCTGCTGGGGTAAAGCACTCAGGTGCTTGCCCAGCAGGAAATGCTTTAGCTGGTTGAATAATGCCCTTGGAATGGGAATGAGAGAGATGGATCTGCAGTAGTCCACTGCTGGGCTGGGGCTGCTGCCATGCATGTGAAGAAATCCATTTCCACAACAGGAGAGCCCTCGCCGTATAGAGAAGATTTTCCAAATCAGACTCCTTTGTAGCACCTTGGGGCAGGCTGAATTCCTCCAATAGCTCTGAAACCCTCACCCCATGGCATCCAAGAACTCACAGGCCAACTGTGAAAACATCATTCAGCTCACCGGCGGCACAGGGGGAAGATGGTATTTAAAATCTTCAAATGGGCAGAGATTGAAGGACTCTGGACACCCAGAGCTCCTTTGGAATTCAATGGGAGTTTGTGTACTCAGCAACAAAAATAGTAATATTTTTATAGAGCAACGCCGACTGGAGCATTGCAAATCTATCCCCAGGACTCCTGCTCCATTTCTCCAATCCAATTATGGCCCTTGTTGCGTGCGCTTTGCTATTACTCTATATGTAATGAGGTGATGGTTGAAGTATTTCAGCTGTAATGGACGAGTG